TTCACTGAAAACTGGAAGCCTTTATTAAAATATGCCAATAAAATAAATCTTGAGACACATGGTTTGGAAAACAATTTGGAGCATTTAGATTGTTGGTCGATATTTGTTTAAGATGAGACAGAGAATGGTGTAAATGTGATTTTGAGAAATGTGGGGAATACTCATTGGTCATCAGTTAAATTATATAACAAGTAAGATGAGAGTTTACTATGTTAAGCTTTGTATTTATTACTTGTAACATGATGGATTGTCTTTTTATTTAGAAATAAATTTTAAAATAATTTAAAAAAAAGATTCCTAGACATAATTTGTGGCCACTGTCCCATTTTCCCTTTCTCTGTGCAAATATTTCTTAAATAATTTAAATTCAGAAATGAAATAAAGCTACAGCCCTCCATTAATCAATAATTTCTGTTTTAAAAATACCATGGAGAACATTAAAAGTTTTAATATTAATGCTATTTTTTTTTGTAGGTTATTCTGATCCTAACTTTTACTATGAGTTTACCGCACGATATCATGCAGCCCCTTGTAACAGTATATATAACACTTCTTTCAAGAAGAATTTGCTTCAGATACTAACCAAACTTGTTGGCGAGTTATCCTGTGATGTCTCATTACGCAAGTCAGAATGCCATCGTGTAAAAATGCAAAGAGCTGGATTGCAAAATGAGCTCTTTTTTACTTTTACAGGTAAAATATATTATTGTTTGAAGAGCTGTTTGAAGAAATATTTGTTTTATGAAATAATATGTACTGAAAACAGTTCCAGTGGTAGTCAAATTTAATTGAGATTATTTGAAAGGGTTTATGAAACAAGGAAATTATGCAAATGCATAACTGATATATGATTAATCTTCAGAAATGCCTAATCCAGTGAGTGACAGGATGATTTTAGTTATATTATGAATGAGAAAATTCTGCTTGAGATTTCATTTTTCTTTAGAATTTACCTCTCTCTCTCCCTCTCTCTCTCTCTCTCATGTGTATGTATGTGAGTTTAAGATCAGCAATGCTTCACTTTTTCTATACTAGTACATAATATTTTACCACTTAGTTATTATGATGCTAGTTTTTCAAAATTCAGATTTTCTGCTAAGAAATATGTGTGGAAACTACCATATACTGCTATAGGTCATTAAACGGGGCAATCATAAAGCGAGGCACCACTGTAATCCATTCGGGCCCAAGGAAAACAATGACCCCAAAAATATTAAAAATCACTGCAAGACCTATCAGAAACATGATTAATCCATTCCAGCTTGGGGGGGAGAGAAAAGTGAGCAAAGCATGCAAGACCCATCGGAAATGCAAAAAAAAGCAGAGCAGAAAGCAAGCGAAGCATGCAAGACCCATCAAAATGCAAAAAAAACCAAACCAGAAAGCAAGCGAAGTGTGCAAGACCCACCGGAAATGCAAAAACAAAGCAGAAAGCAAATGAAGTGTGCAAGACCCATTGGAAATGCAAAAAAGCAAAGCAGAAAGCAAGTGAAGCATGCAAGACCCATCAGAAATGCAAAACAAGCAAGCAAACCCCACAAGACCCATTGGAAATGAGGGGGAAAACAAAAAGCAAGCAAACCCCCCAAGACCCATTGGGAATGGGGGGAACCCAAAAAGCAAACAGACCTCCAAGACCCATTTGAAATTGGGGGGACCCTAAAAGCAAACAACCCCCCAAGACCCATCGGAAATTGGGGAAAAAACGAACAACCCCCCAAGACCCATCACAGCACAGAAACATAACCCCTAGTCCAAAACCACACTGCAAAATCCACCCAGAACAGTTTTTAAAAAGCAGAAAGCAGCACCTTACCTTACCAGGCAGTCCGAAGCCTCCTCCAATCGCATACTGTCTAACTGCTGGGGTGAAAGAGCTACAAAGAAGCAGCCTCTTCGCCTACCAATGGTTAGCAATTTGAATTTCCCCCCTTTTCCCCCTGCCTTTTTCTGTTCGTAACTGGAAGCTCTGGCTGCAAGTTGAAGCAAAATTTTGCGGCCGGAGCTGGTTGTAACTCAAAATTGTCACAAGTCAGGATGTTCGTAAGTGGAGGGATCACTGTATTGATGTAGGTAGAAATTGTAAAGTCTGGAATTAATTCTGGTTTGTTGACCTGACTAATCATATGTGCTTGCAGTGGAAGAGCTAAACGATCATGGATTTCTGGTTCATGGTTTATTTATCATGATGTCTGAACCTAACAGGAGCTAGCATTCTGTCTATTTTTCTCTCAGGAAGGCAGGGAAAGAATCTGCAGTTTGTTCTGGGTTTCTTTCTCTCCTTTGCAAATCAGAGTATTAGCACTCTGGAAGCATGCATGTGCATACCACTAATAAAAAAGCCCTAGGTTGTTGTGACAGTTGACCTGGCCCACTAAAATTGTAAGTAACAGATCCTCCTTGCCTTAACTTTCATGCCTCAGTAGGTATAGACACATTCAAGTCTTTTATGTTTTCTTACAACTTCTGTTCAGCCTCAGTCCTATTTCTTTTCCTTCCTTATAGGTCTGCTTTGCATTAACTCTAGATTTTTTATATCAAATAAGGAATATATTTAAATGGAATATATTTGTTCTGTCATTGAGCTTTGGCCCCATCACATACTTTTAAAATGTACTGCTTTTTACATTATTGATATGCACACTGAGGATTAAGCTGACCTTTCATAAGCAACATCCCATTTCAGTCATGTTGGTATGAGAAATTATTTGTAAATTATCTTCTCTTTATTAAGCAATATGATGTCAGAGCTAAAGTCTTTGTTGTTTCCCAGATATGTTCATACATTTTTTACAGTTTTTCCTCTAGATGCAGAAAAAGGCAAAAATATGTGTCACAAAAGTGTATGCGATGTAACAAGAAGATTACAAAAGGTAGTGTAGATTTGCATAAGAAGGAAAATGTCAGACGTTATTTATAGTCACTTATTTAAAAAAAAATAAAAGAATGGCTTTAATATTCTTTCTGTACAAGTAGTAATGCCATTGGTTGAATAAAGAAAAGATATGTTCATAGTTGAAAGTGTGAGCTGGTGGAATTGTAGAATGAAAGGCAGTTCATCTCATGGGACAGCAGCTTGGTCAAACAACAGAAAGAAAAATTTAGGAGTAAACAGTTCTTGCCAGAATGGAAAGTTAAGTTTGGGGTCCTCTGACGAGCCGGATCACATCCGTTGTGATTTAAGTAGTATGAATAAATGGTTAGGGTGAAGAGTGGGGTACTTGGTTCCTCAGGCAATACTGGTTCAGTATGGTGCAAAAATGTATCTCGGGTTTTAAAAAAACACGTCTTGAGACTTAGGTGAATTGGCAACAAAAAAGTAAATAGTGAGGTCCTGTACAATTATCCTCAGAGAGATTATTATTGGAGCACAAAAATTATTAGATTGCTAAAATTGCATTTATATTGGGATTTAAAGATATGGCAACTAGTTGGAAAAGTTATCCTGGGATTGTAGTGGAACGTTCAATGTGTAAACATAAACTTATTATCAGGTAGCAGCAAAAAGGACAGATGACATTGCCAAGAATTTGTGAAGATTCTCAGTCATCCAGGTGAGGTAATCTGGAAACTGAGTCATGGTAGCTGGATTTCTTTCTTATTCTTCATCTGACTGAAGAAGCTCCTTGGATGACTAGCAAAACATTTCAACCTAATAAGAAAGAAATCCAGTTGCCACGACTCAACTTCCAGATTTTGCCATTAATTATTTTATTTTATTTAATTTAAAAGTAGTTAAACATAGCATGGGCAGAAATGGTAATGCCATGTATTACTTGCAGTTACACCAAACAAAAATAAATAAATAAAAGTATGAAAAGATCAGGGCATTTCCATGTTGAGGTTTGCATAGCTGTGTGGAGAAAATGGGAGGAGAGGGCTACTCCCTTCTGTAACAAAAATACATCTTCATATAGCATACAACTAAATCATGGCATTCACTTAACCAGTGGCCACTGACTGATCAGTTTAAAAAGGAGTGAATTTATCATTGTGAAAAACTTGATGCTGGATTAATTGCAATCTAGTCCAGAATTGAGAGAGGGTAGACATAGCCTCTCATCCCAGACACATAGATTATGAAAACAAGATGTCAAATTTTGCCTCAACAGAGTGGTGTGAAGAAACATTTTTTGCTTTGTCCAGCTATGACTAGCCATCATTCATTCAAATGGGGAAGTACAAACATTTTATAGGAATATTGCAAAAGTGACGAAAGCTGTCTGCCACTGCTGCCTTTTTCTGCCAGGGTCCCAAAAAACAGCACTCCTTCCCCACACATTCTGCCTGTTGTAAGGACACATATATTACTATTTTATAATTTGTAGTAATACAACTAGCTGTTGTTACTCATAAGGAATTTTATCACAATATTTTCTAATATTACAGATGTAAAATTCACAACATTACAAAAGCATACAGCAAGTTCTGAATCTTATTTTATTCCTATCCTGATTTTTTGCCACTAAATTCAGGGTGGTTTTCACGGCTGCTGCTTCATTTATGTCATAAGCAATCCATTGGTGCTTCTGGGGTTGAAGGAGCAACTGGCAGGGCACTGTTGTTGCCCAGGAGATGTCTGAATGTGTTCACAGTACTTACATTTTTGAGGGAAGCTCTTTCTATGTCCCCCACTCATGTGCCTCTCCTTGCCCTTCATTTTATCCTCACACAATAAGCTTTTGGGTAGAAAAAGAGTGGCTGTCTCAAGATGGCTGTATTTGCTCAGTTGGCATGAAAATGTGCATTTCTTGAATCCTAGTCCAATATTCTAACCACTCTACCACTTTAGCTCTCTCCAGAGACCCATCAGACAATGTTCAAGAGAAGCAATGCTTCACTTTCAACTTTCTGGATGTGATTCATCTGCAGTTAATCCTTTTAATATATTTGACCCTGTGAATGAGTTCAGTGGGAATTATAGGGGTTTGGCATTAACCTTGGTTTGTGCTTCATAATCATATAGTGTATACGCATGTTTGTATGTGAGAGACAGTATGGTGTAGTGGATAGGGTGACAGACTGTTGTTATGTGCCTGTGCTTCATAATCATATATATGCATGTTTGTATGTGAGAGCCAGTATGGGTGACAGACTGTTGTTATGTGCCATCAAATTGGAGTTGACCAATAGCGATCCTTATAGGGCTTTCAAGGTAAGTGAAATATTTAAAGAGTGGTTTTGCCAGTTACACACCCCAATGACTTTCCATTGTTTGAGTGGGGATTTGAACCCAGGCCTCCCGAGTCTCAGTCCATCACTATATCCAATATACTTCATTGGATATCCATAGGACTCAGAAGTCTTGGGTGCAAATTCTCGCTTGGCCATGGGAATTCACTGTGAGGAGAATTGGCAATAGTAAATCACTTCTGAGATTTTCCAAACACTTTGAGAACCATAAGTCAGAAGTGACTTGATGGCATATAACAACAATGTGTATGTATGTATGTATTTAGGGACGTGGTGGCGCTGTGGGCTAAACCGCAGAAGCCTGTGCTGCAGGGTCAGAAGACCAGCAGTCATAAGATCGAATCCACGCGACGGAGTGAGCGCCCGTCGCTTGTCCCAGCTCCCGCCAACCTAGCGGTTCGAAAGCATGCAAATGCAAGTAGATAAATAGGGACCACCTCAGTGGGAAGGTAACAGGGTTCCGTGTCTACGTCGGACTGGCCATGTGACCACGGAAGATTGTCTTCGGACAAAACGCTGGCTCTATGGCTTGGAAACAGGGATGAGCACCGTCCCCTAGAGTCGAACACGACTGGACAAAAATTGTCAAGGGGAACCTTTACCTATGTATGTATTAAATTTTTAGACTTTCTGATAATGGAACATCTCTTTGTGGTATGTAATATATAAATAAAAATATGAACTGTATTATGATAGGTACAGATAGAGTATGCCAAAACAATCTCATTCAAGTTACCTGGTCCCAGGTTCTATAGAAACTTAGAGTTTTCAAATGTGAAATGATAGCTGGTATAGTTGGCAGAGTATTGGCATGATAGCTTAAATGTCCTGTTTTGAACTAAGTGATTGTTTCTTGGCCACTATGAAATATATGTAATTTATTGCAATAATAATCCAAATGGGAGGTTCTGCTATTCCAGTCCTACCAATAAGGGAAAGGGAGTGGTAGCTGTCAGTTAAAGATAGACATCCTTTTCCTGCTCAGGTATTCTAAAAATGTAGCTCAGGTCCTTTGAAATGGCCATTGCAGTTAGAAAACTATGTCGTTCATTTTCCTATCAGGCTTGAGAGAACTTCACTCGCTACAATATAAGGGTGTGCTTCTCTCTGATGTGCATCCAGTATTCAGAAGAAAAACATCTATCAGCATCTCAGTTTTGAATTTACAATAACAGCTTGTTATTGGCGGTGCTATACTTTCTCTTCCTTAAGTAAAAACCCATCAGATTTCTTTTATTGTTAATTTTACAGAATGCTCTTTGATTGGCTGTTGCTGAGAGGGGAAGGGGGGAAGGGAATTGCCTCCTTTTCTACAGGTCCCATGTTTATCTTGTGAAGGGAATTTTGGCACTTAACACATCTTTGTATTTCTTACTTAAAATTATAGATCTTTTTCTATTAAGGAGGTGTTGGCATCAGTTTTGTTAGATTTCTACATTTCATCATAGTTTAAAATCCCATTTTTAAATATTTCAGTGGTTGAATGTTGATTTCTAAGTTGAACTCAATTTTCTTCAGAAGGCAATTAAATTTCCTAAGTGAGTATTTGGAAACAGTGGCCAAATCCTGCTGCGGAGCTAGGTCTGTGCAATTTTAAGTTGCAGAAGCTGCTGCAAAATTTGCACCAAAGCAGAACTCCTATTGAGGAAGCAGTTCTGTGGACACAGTTGTGCCATTTGTGTTGTTTGGTGCACAATCAGATATGCAACCTGCTTGGGTGTAACTCCTTGTGAACTTATGCAGGCATAACTTTATACTACACCAAATCCAACATGAGTTCAGCCAATATTTAGCAATGCCAATACACATAAAATAAATGGGATGTACTGTCTTTTACTATGTGTATTTTCAAATGTGTTCTTTAGACTACTACACAGAGTCATGCAATCCCATTTTCCCACCCACCTCATTCATGACAATGCTATGACTGCTAGAAACAGCCTAAATGGCCACTGTCAGAGATTATGGGATTTACAGTCTTAAACACTGAGAAAGTACTAGTTGCCTATACCTATCTTAGAATTATTGTGAATAACCAATGGAATTCAGTTTGTCTCTTCAAAAAGTAGATACAGAAGTTTGCATTTTACAAGGAGAAATTTTGAATGTCGTATATGTTTGGAGTTCAGACAGGCATATTGATCTGATGTTAGGCTTACATGGGCAGGTTGGTTTTTTGGATATGAGCTGCTGACTCATAAAGAACCCCATGTAGACGACTGGTAGAGGGCTTGCATCATTACACATGCCCTGTTCATGCATTATTGATGTAGTGATTGGATTTGTTGACTCTGACATTCAGAGTCATCCGTTGTGGAGAACAAGGAATAGGAGATACATTGCACATGCCCCTCTCCTGTTGTGTAATAAAAAACAAAGAGCCATAATTCAGCATTAGGCTACAAAGGCTGGGCCAATCAATGTTCAAGCAAACTTCAGTGGTGGCTGGGGCATACAAAGGTTAACAAATCTATCACAGCATGAGTTTTTCTGGGCTACATTATAATAAAATTGTCAGTTTTAAAGATTCATCAGGACTCTTCTTGGTAGTGATATGTTTTCTACATTTGTCTGTTGTTAATGAAAGGTTCAGAAAATGTTTGCTAGACTGTAGTTATAGTTCACATTAGAGACAGGCATGAACCATCAAAATGGCAGTAGATCTTGGTTTGTGGTTCATCAAAGTCCACAAACCACGAATATCCGAACTTTTTTCTGATGAACCACAAATTGCCAAGTGACTGCCTTTAAAAATAAGTCTGGATACCTCAGCTGAGCCTCCCCTGCACCTGTAGCCTGCCCCCCCTTCCCACTGCACTCGTTGCCTCCCTCTCTACCATGTTTTGCCACCTATGCTGCCACCACTGCCATCTTTGGAGACAGCAGCCTGACTTCCCCTGCGGGAGCCGAGTCTGCCGTCTCTGCACATGTAAATATGAAACAGTCCAGGCTGTGTCTATATATGTAGCTGAGAGGCAGGTGCATATGCAGAGGCAGCTACCCTGCAGGAGCCAGCCACGTTGCCTTTCAAGATGGAGCAGTGGAGAAGGAGACAGCACAGCAAAAAGTGGGGAAGTGGGGTTGTGGGAAGAGGGTGGAGGGCAGTGAGTGCCTCTCAATTTATAATTAAAAAAAAGAACTTGGAGACATCCATGACTCAAAAATTGCTAAAACTTTGTCCATTTATATTCATTGGAGTCATTGTGTTTGACAAACACAACAAATTAGCAATTTCTGATAAATTTTCCAATTCATTTTTTGGTTCCTTCCCATCTCTAGTTAACCCTGCCCCATCCCCCTGGTAATACAGAGGAAGAAGGTTTGAAACAAGTATCTTTCTTTCTGTTACCAAATTAATTTACTTTTAATTTTGACTACATGAACTTTATTACACTAATTACTAAACTAAATTAAGAATATAGTTATATTTCGAATTGAAATTTTGTCTACTATGTAAGAGCAGCATTAATTAGTATTTCTCACCAAGTAAAGAGTTTCTGTTTGCTTCAGGCAAAAACCCTGATAGAGGAATTTTTTAGCCAACAAGTTGAAGTTCTTGGGAAACTGACAACACCACTCCCTGAGATCTACTATATAGAAGGCACTCTGCAAATTGTGTGGGTTAATCGCTGTTATCCAGGCTATGGAATGAATCCCCTACTACATCCAGATTGCCCTAATTGTTGTGGTAAGTGGAGTGTGTAGTAATAAACTAGATCCAAAAACTGAATTGTAAAGAAGTGTCAAGTTTCTTTTATATTTAATAAGAACAATCAGTCATACTAGTGTTGTACCTACAAGTAAGGTGATTCATGAACAGTTGAACTTGTTATGCTGGAACCTGGAAAATCAGCTTTGACATTTTGAAAAAGTAATTAATATTTATTGCTATGTATTTTATTTACAAATTGCTAAGTATGAAATTGTGGTATTTTAATAGACCCTTAAGAAGCTATTTCTGCAACAGATGTTTTGTTATTTGGAATGTATGCACTAGTCATGCCAAATGGATATTGTTGTTGTTACCCGCCCTCAAGTTGAGCAGTCTCCAAAATACTGTACCCTGTCTTTAACATCCCTGCTCAGCCCTGCCCAAAGTTGTGACTTCCTTTAAGGAGTCAATCCATCCAATATTTAGTCTTCCTCTTTTCTTGCTGCCTTCAATTTTTCTCAGCATTATTATCTTTTCCAGAGAATCTTATCTTCTGATTATGCAGCCACAATTTTGTTATTTTGCTTTGTCCAGAGATAGTTCAGCCTTAATTTGCTGTAGGATATATTCATTTGTCTTTCTGGTTGTTTATGATATCCGCAAAGCACCACATTTCAAACTTTGAAGTTTGACTTTGGGGCAAGCCAGGCCAGACATGCCAGTGGCAGACCCATGGTCTGTCTTGGGTAGTGGTGAGATACAATTTTGATGACTTTTTAAAAATGAGTATGGGAAGTGCAGTATGTTGCTTATTGCCATGTAGTATTTCCCAGAGTACTTTTTCCCCAGTTGAGTTCACTTGTGATTTTGGAGCTGGTTGACATAAATGCCTTGTGAAAAGAGATTTCTGGGAAGATATTAGTATTGCACAGTGGAACAGCTGTGTTGCTCTCACACTGGATATATGATTAGTCTCTGCTTTCATAGAACCAGGATTTTTAAAAACTAGTTTAAGGGCCCATTTGCATCAATATTTGCCTAAGCTTTCTACTGCCCATCATGTCCAGAAAACTGGCCTATGCCAAATTCTGCTTTAATAGTCATACTGTATGTGTGTAAGAGGGCAAATAATCCTTTGCAGCATTTGACTAAATTGCAGTTTCTAGGTTTACTTATCACTGGAGGGATGTGACAGAATGACATAAAACATTGCTGTGCAAATAGGGCTTAATTTATGCCCAAGAAAGACAAGCTGGTTTGGTGACCTTTGCTAGAAAACAGGTTGCATGTCTGGCACAACCACACTGTGCGTACCCTAAATTCAGCAAAGGCATTAACAACACACACTCGTTTGTTGGACACAGTACACATTCTGAATTGTTTTCTGTCCTGTGCTAAGTTGAGAGAAGCAGCTGTTAATTACTGTTCATATGTTTTAAAGAAATCTGTTGAGGGGACTTGAGATCTGCAGATTCCCAGTCTCCCTCTCTTGAAACTGAACCAACTCAAGTTGAAGCTTGATAGCAGATAAACGAACAGACAAAGATTATCCTCACAAATTAATGTTCACACATTATCTTCTACTTATGCCTTAGACGTCACACTCTTACTTCATCCAAAGTAGTCTGCAAATATTTTTATTCACTAGGTGGAGCTAAAACTGTTTCGTAAAAATATGAACATCTTAATCCTAAACACATTACATGGGAGTCAGAATCATTGAATATGGAACATAAGCAGGTAAGAGATTGGATGGGAGGAAGAAGAAAATTCTGACTGAGCATAAGTAGAAAGGGAATGAAAAATAAAGATGCCAATTCCCTAACACCATTCTGTGGTAGAGATTACACAACAACATTTTTAATAGAGCTTGTCTTTTATACCCATTGCATCTTTGTTTCTTCCAGAAAGCTGAATGAAACGAGCTGCTTTTATACAGTTTTGGAACCACATCGTGCAAAAGGGTGTAATTAATTGAATTGCACTATCCTCTGGTTTAATATGGCTCCCTCCCTTCTGCAGTCTCTGTACCCAATGAATTGTTGGCCACAATCCAGTTGCATAATTACACCTGTGTAAGTACAGTGGTATAATGCAGAGCTGCCGTTTAATAAATCCTCATTTGAATTCTACTAGTACACGACATATATGACTTGCCATGTGAACAGGAATGTGATTAAGGACTCGTTATTTAGTAGTTATTTGCTGCTCTGCGTTATGCAGGCACACTTACACAGGGGTAAATATTCAACTGGATTCCTGCCTGTATGTAGAAACTGGCTTATGAAATCAATTGGGTTTTTTTGTTGTTGTTGTTTGTTTCATGATGTTGTTATTAAAGTTTTTTCAGTGTTAGTGTTTGTTTTTCAGGTAAGTATTTTCTGTGCATGCTATGATATTTTAATAAAATAATAACTATAATTTTTTTGTTATAGTGGTTTGCAGTCCGGGAACATACAACCCTCATGAAGGAACACACTGTCTTCAGTGCAACAAGAGCTTGACATATGGAGCACGAGAATGTTGACAGACTGCTGGCACAAACAATTTGCTGTGTTTAGTGATACCAATGTAATTTACATCTTGCAAACACAAATAAAAATATTTAAAATAACCCCAGTTTGTTTAATATTGCATTGATACCCTGTTCTCCTGAAAATAAAACCTAGTATGATTTTTCAGTATAAACCCTACCCCCAAAATAAGCTCTAGTTAAGTGAAAGCCCGCCCTCCACCATTGTGCAGCAACCAGAAGATGACATGACTGTATTTGAATAAACGTAGGTTGTTGTACATGAAAAAATAAAATAAAACTTCCCCTGAAAACAAGCCCTACTGCTTTTTTGGAGCAAAAATGAATATAAGACCCTGTCTTATTTTCAGGGAAACAAGGTATTTTGTATTTGATATAATGATTGGCTGAATAGCTCAGTGGTTTAAGTATGTGGCTATGGAGCCAAAAGTTGGGAATTTAATTCCCCACTGTTCCTTCTGTGAGTAGAGCCAACCAGTGTGGCCTTGGACAATCTGTACAGTCCCATGTTGTTTCCAGAAGAAGGGAATGGTAAACCACTTTTGAGTATTCTGTACTTGGAAAACCCTGAAAAAGGTCACCATAAGTCAGAATTCACTTGATGACACATGATGATGACAACAACAATGATGATGAAGAATAACATACTCTGGGGCATACAATGGGATTTTATCTTTTACAGATAGAGCATTCCACATATATTTCTGGGCTAAAGGTGTTTATCACATTTAAGGCTCATCTAGTGATATGTGAAAACAACTTTCTCTTTGTCTTGTCAAGGTCCAACATGCTCCATATTGTGCTGGATGATAGGAAATGATAAACGCAGTATTGAATGATTTATGTGGCCGTCTTAAAGAGTTTTGGTCACACATTTCTTCCTATGGATAGTGTCTACTAAATTATTAAAATATATATTTCCCTCCCCAAGTTCATGGTCCAAGGCTGCCCAGGTTCTTCAGAGATGCTATATCTACTTTAGACTTCAGAGTATAAGCTGTTGTCCTGGAAGAACAATGCAGCTGTTACTGAAGACCAGCTGTGACCTCTAGTGAAGACTGTGATTCTTTTATATTAATGGATGAGAAATATCTTCAGATCCTATGCAGAATATCCTATAAAAATTTATATTTGTCATAAACAGATGGAGTCAATTTATGGTCAGGATTCACGTAACCATTCCAGGCATATTTGTATTTCAACTGCTGGTCCTGGCTTCATCTTTGCTGTCCTGCAAGCAGGCAAAGACTTATTTCTTCAGGCAAGTTTTCCCTTAGTGACTGGTTGCCTAAGTGGGGTTGTTAAATGGATTGTTTTGCCTTACTTTTTAAATGTTTTATTTTTGGTGTGCTTATTAACCATGTAGTAATGTGGTATTTAAGCCTTTCTAGTATAGGGACGTGGTGGCAAAGCGGGTTAAACCACAGAAGCCTCTGTGTTCCAAGTTTGGAAGACCAGCAGTTGTAAGAATACTTAGTATTTGTATGCTTATGGAAGACCAGCAGCTGTAAGAATACTTAGTATTTGTATGCTTACAATTTAAATATTGCATATAAATATTGCATTTTAATTATGTAATTCGCTTTGGGTCCTTTTTAAGAAGAAGGATGGAGTAATAAATAAATAAATAAATA